TTACTTCGAACTATATTTTTAAAAATTACGAGTATGTCAACTCTTCCACTCGTCTGGTGAGTTTCATGGACGAACCGTGGACATTTTGGCAAGTATTGGCAAGATAATTCAATAAAAAGTGTAAGAAGACCATTTCTTTCGAGGGAAGCGATTTATTATCGTCCAGGCAGGGAGTGAAAAAGGAGTTGTTGATGAAAATCTGCAGATTATAAAAGCCATATTAATAAATGAATAAAATTATTTTAGAGTGGTATAACAAAACCCTTTTTAATGGATTCAGAAAGTGAACTTAGTGGCTGAGCTTTAGGTTAATGAAAAAATTGAAAGACTCTCATTTAGAACGAATTAGATTAAGGGGTACCTATTAACTAAAAGTAATTTATTCTTATAAAATGGGAAAAACTTAACACGTAAAATGTTTTCCTTTTTATCTCATTGATTTGTGTTTATATTCCCATATTTGAGACTCTCGTTAAAATCAATTTGTTTTTAAAAAAAAATTGTTCTTTACATCTTGCGATGAAATTCGTATACATTTTGAACATAATACGTGTCTGTTGTTGTGCTTTTTATTTAAGTATTTAATTAAAAATAAGATTAGCTAATTTTTATTTACTAAAAATATCCAAAAATATTCCAAATAAAAGCTTTTCGACGTTAAGAAATTTAAATTCATTAAAATATTCTAATGGTCTAGAATTATTCTGAGAGGTAATGCTACCCTAGCATACTATTAGTTTTTAGACCATTGTAAAATATAACTCATGAAACTAGATAAACTTTACCTTTAAGCCAAACTTATTTAGTAGCAAATTCACGAAATATAAGAAAAGTAAAAATAATTAAAATAAGCATTAACCTTAACCTCTGGATCTTACTCACCTTATCATCGAAGTATTTATGAAGTAATTTATGACGTGACGTAATTGTCATCTTTTGTGTTTTTCACTAAGCTTCGTGATTTTCAATTTTGTTTTATACAAGGCTGCCTATTATATAATAAAATAACCCCACAGTAACGAGCTACCAACTGCCACTAATGTTTTCGTCACCCTATTTAGAAGTTTTTTATTTACTCGATCGTTTCAAGTGTTTGCGTTCGTGAATGGAGGCGATGGTCTTGAACAGTGCACTTTTCTGAGAGTTAGGGACCTTAATAAAGGGCAATTTTGAACCGGCAAGCGGATAATTGATAGAAGTGCGCCAGCGGCTGGTTATTACATTTCACTCGGGGAAGTTGTTAAGTCGTTCGTTTGACAGTTGAAAGCGGCGCTTTTCCTACAATATATTCGATTTACCAGTCCCTTGATTTTGTCTTTCTTTTTATAATAAAAACGTCGTCTATTTATTTGGAAAGAGATCAACGTTAATTTTAGTTGGAAACGCCTGGATTTTCTGATGGGATTAACAAATCTGCTGCTGGTTCCTAGTTCCTTCATCAACGCGTGTGGCACTTATATTTTTTCGTACATTCATTACATTTCTGTCGATGATACCATTCTCCTCTTTTTTTTAAGTCTCATTGCATTTTCGCCCATTTACAGGCCGAGGTGGAATCCCACGTATTCAAGTCCGCGTACCGAACATAAATCGGATAACGGCTTTTTGGCTTGCAAATGGCCCTCCAGGAAAAATAAATACTGAATATTTATTCTTGTTGGCTCCGTTTCGAACGCATAACGAAAAGCAGATGCGTTCGAAGCGATTTCACCCAAGTAACGCCGAACGGAGTGACAGTATTTTATGAGGGTAATGAATGTAATATATGAATTTGACTCCTGCGGAATTTTACGCAGTAGAAAAAACCAGGTATTGGGTGATTCATTTGTAGAGTTAGATCGACACACACATGAAAAATTATCCTTTCACAAGAGCAGCGGATACAGGACTACAAAAACTGAACAGAAACAAGAGAACAATATAGGCATAATGAAATACATTGACGGAGAAAAGGAAAAAATGGAAGAACAATTGGTAAAAACAGCTATTGCCAAACTAAAAAATGGAAAGTCATGTGGACCAGAAATACTATTGACTATTAGTTTTGTCTTTAGTCTTTTCACGATAGCACTTTAGTTCTTACCCAACCCTCCATGAAAGGAGTACTAGTAATATTTTATCTTGCCAATTTTTTGTGACTACATAACCAACATTAATTCACGTCTTATATTTTATTTAGATGTTCTCGGCCTACAATTTTATCGCTCTTAGGTAAAAGGGCGTTGCGTTGCTTTTCCCATATAAAGTTGACATCCTTCATGGTTTTTTATAGCAGTTTATTACTTTTTATGGTTGTTCTTGTTCAAGTTCCATCAAAATGGACGGTATTTCTTATTTCAAATCTTTTCTTTGGAATTATGTTCGTTAATGCGTTTCTTAAACGTTCTATTTGTTCTCCGATATAACATTTCAGCTTGTAGACGCCGGATTTTTGAGTTTTTCCTGATTTAGTTTTATTGTTTTTTTGAAAAATTTCCTATGATGTTTTCAGTTTTATAAGCGATCTTGAGACCAAATTGAAATTTAGGTAGATGTTTCGAAACTTTTTCGCCTGGTTCTCCTATGCATTTTATTGTTTTATAAATTTTGGGTTCGATGTTTAATATGGGATGGATATAGTTCCTGTTTTATCTTATATTCGTAGCAGTAAAGTACACATAGTATTAAAGTATTATTTATTAATTATAGTGTACAGCAACTAAAACATTATTACTCATTTCTGGCGTGCTCCGAATCGTGTTCTTATGTTTTTTTGTCGGATGTGACGTCGTTGGGGGGCAATGTTACTTCATGGAAAGCGCCATCTATTACTTGGTCACTAAACTAATACAAATGGTCTAAAGAACCCTGTATGACACAGTTCCGAGTTATTTGAAACTATTTTTTGGTTATTCAGGACGATACAGCAATCTTGGCTGAATTCCTGGAAGACCTACTGGTGAACAGAGTTAAAATAGGACGATAAATACTGTAAAAACTAAATTCATGATTGTCTCGAAAAACTCAGTCAAACAAGGTCAGGTGACGATGCAAGCAACACCAATAGAGCGCGTGGAAAAATAAAAATATCTCGGAACTTCGGACCTAGACTAAGATCACAAAATAAGAATCTGAATTGAAATTGCGAGGCAGTCTTTCTTAAGATTTAAAACACTATTAGGTGATAAAAATCTATGCCTTAAACTATGAAGTTTATTGAGTGCTACGTGTGGACACAACTACTTTACGGAGTAGAAAGTTGGACTCTCAAGGCTCACTCCATCAAGAATAAGCAACTGTTAAGAAGGATAGGACAAAAAAGGAAATTAATGATTACGATCAAAGGAAGAAAACCAGCTTATCTTGGCCATGTTTAAATACGAACTACTACAGACCATCATGAGTGGATGGAAGAAAGCACATAGGAAAAAAGAAGAAATACTGGCTAAGAAATATTAAAGACGGGACTCACATGAGTATATGAGAACCGTTTCAGGTTGCAAGGGACAAAGACGTCGCCAACCTCCGTTAGGGGATGGCACTGGAAGAAGAAGAAGTTTTGAAACTTTCTTGCTAGGTTCTCCTATGCATTTCATTGTTTTATAAATTTTGGGTTCGGTTTTTAATATGGGATGCATATAGTTCCGAGTTATTTGAAACTATTTTTTAGTTATAATCATATCTGTCAAAAAGGGGTCGTAACCATTGTTGAAAGCTATTTGTTTTATAATATTTAATGCTTATTCAAAATTTTCTGTGGAAAGTGGTACTTTAAGTATTAAAAGAATAAAAATTAGCCATTTTGTGTGTGAGGGTGATTAGTGTTATTAAGTATTAGTGTCCGCATTTATGGTATTTATGGTAAATGGAAAAAAACTAATTTGTTTCGTAATTTATTTATAGTTAAGTCCAGAAAGTTTAAAGAGTTATCTAGTTCCGCCTCCATGGTAAATTTTATATGGTTATATAGTGAAATAAGCAAAAACATCATCTACGCATCTATACCGTCAAAGAAAACTTTTATTCAGAGGAGGTTTATGTATGACATTTTCTACATTGTCCATGAAAATTTGTGCCAGTAATGGGATAAGTGGGTTTCCCTTAATTAATTATTCTTTAGCAATATAAAATTGATCAATAAATTCAAAATAATTTTGGTCAGAACAACATAATCGACTATCTAACAAATCTTTTATGATATGGTTAACTTATCTCTGAGTAAGAACATTGTCTATTACGTCGATCGGTGGAATGCTAGGAAATAGATTTTGGACATCACAAGATACTAGAATTGCATTAGGGAGATTTTTTTTTTTTTTTCAAAAATAGGTTACGTTTTGATCTATTGCTTATCAAAAACGATCTTCGTTCTCGCTTGTTTATGCAATAAAACGATTAAATCGGCGAGAGATAGAGAGAAATATTCAACGAACAAACGAAAATTGAGAGTAACGCCAGCGCGTTTTGCGAGTAACAATTTTTCTGCTTTTTGTTTTACCGGTAATAATTACAATGTGCAGTGAAATGAATTTGTCGCGAACGTTTCGCTCGTATGCAGATTTTCTGTTTCAGTTTTTAATTAATCGTTATTGTGTTCGGTCGCATGTTTGGACGTGTTTTTTTCCAATTTATGTGAAATAAACGTTTTATTTTTGTTATCTAAACGTGGCTGCGATACATTATGACGTTAAATTATTAAATTCAAAATTATTGAAAATATTTGATATTTATTCTTCTGAGTTATTTCCTTACAAAATATTTAGTATAATAGTAAATGTACAGAACATAGAATCTTTATTTATTTATTTGATTACAAGTATCTAACGACTGTGCTCTATTTCTTAATGCGAGAGAGGTATAAATCATTATTGAAGCATAAAAGTTAGTGGTCTTGGCCATATTCCATACGTATCCCAATGGTATGAAGAAGTTGTGGAAACTTTGAAGGAAATGAGTTTTCGTTACGTACAAACTCATTTTGAAATTAAGGACGATGTAACCCTCTTGCAAGAAGGAATAAAAACAATCAAGACAAATAGAAGAATGTGGGAAGCTTCTAGAAATATTCTAGAAAACACTGCAGAGTCGCTTATTATTATTATTTATTACCATTTATCTATTTTCATATTATCCTTACCTGCATATAAGTCTTAAGTTGATTAATTGCTCGGCTCTATAATTACAGTCATCTCCTTCACAGCCCTGGGAGGGTTTTTGCCAATTCTACTTATCTACTCTTACTCTATCTTACTCTTTTTAGCATTATTTTCAGGCCAGCTTGAGTGTTCGTGGTTCTTCTTCTGTCATTGTGTTGCCTGCAATTCTTCTTACGTGTATTCCCCTGACCTTTACTTCGTTTATTATATTACCATCTTTACACTTCTTTGAGTGCTTGTGCTGTTGGTTCTTATCTGTTTGGACCGAACATTCTCCCTCAGCACCTTCCTTCTAAATATCTTCTGCTTCTTCATTTGCAATGGTTAGAGCGTCCAGGTCTCGCAACCATATATTACTACAAGTTTTATGATTGCTTTCTGTAGATTTAGTTTAGTTTTTGTGGTAAGTTCCTTTCATTTCACTAAAGCTTGAGAGCAAAGAAGCCTCTGTTTTCAGCTTGAATCCTATTATTTAGTTCTTTTATGATGTCATTGCCTAACATTAAGGATTTGAATTTTTTTACCCGCCCCAACTGGTAGTTATCGATAGAGAAGTATTAGTATATATTATATTAGTATATAGTATTGTATTATTATCGTTCTAATAAACTGTTGTAACGCCGCTGTCACATTACTTTCATTCACTCAAACTCGTCTTCCTATTGCATGCAAATTAGTGTGACCCTAGAAAATTGAAATAAAGAAACTATCATTGGAATTTATCTGAACTTTACGTTATAACATTTGTCAACCCTGTTTAATGATCAGAAAACCAAGTGCCTTTTAGACCGACAAAATTATTTTGGAATATACAGTTCTGGGTCCTGCGTCGCTGACCTTTGGGAACTTTATGGACCGCGGGATAATCTAATTTACATAGTTCCGTAAATGGAGTCGTTTTGCATTAAGTGACGTTGCTCGGGAGCGGTGAAAATGTTATTTTGTATGCGGAGCTACGAGTCGTCGGTTTTATATTCGTGCACATGTCGTAAATGCAAGAAATTCAGTGCAAATATTTTAAAGATATCTCCCGAATAATTGTTTCTTTTCAACTACGACCACACTTCTACCCGGTGATGTTTTCTATGAACCTTAAGTTCTTATTCTGAAATGCAATTAAAGAATATGTAATGTAGATGTACGACTTTTTTTGTAAAACGAGAGATGACACAAGATAATTTCTCCATTTCATAACTTATCGACAAGCTAATAATTGTTTGTTATAACAAAAAGAAAAAAAGTTCACATGTACCCAGATCTGAAATGCTTAGGTTCCGCGTTACGAGAATGTTAACTACATTTTGTCGGATTTTATTGAAATTTGGCAACGTCAAGATGGGTAATGATCAATTCTGCTTCAACTATCGTACCCAATAATATTATAATAATATTATGAAAGATATATAGGCAACTGACTTTTTGAAATTTTTGTAATTTACTTTGAATAAGCCACACAAAAGTAAATTTTTTTATGGTTCAGTTACTTGCATATTTCACCTCGTTTTAGAGTTAAATAGAAAAAATTATGAAAATTTTTTTTTACCAAATGAAATTTGTGGCATAATTGTAAAGCAAATATGGCAGATTTCCCTCTTAACATTGTCTCTTTCTCGAAAATATTGTTAATAATAGGTTAAAAACATTGCTAATCTTGCCAGAGATTAAAATAAGGATTGTGTCCCAACTGATTTTGTTACTCGATTTCTCCTAATGGTTTATTCCGTAGTTTGATTATCCTTTTTTAAATGCTGCATCCTGTCATTGTCAATCGCTTTTAAGATCCTTTTTCTTTCGTCAGTCCTTCTAAATTTTGCATCGACCTCTTGTAAGATTGCTAATCCCTGGAAGGTATGCATTCCTTTGGGAAATGATTCGTTATTGTCACTTACTGGAATGGTTTTATTGGCATTACGTTTCTAGAGACTTACTTGGGGTTATATGTCCTAACGCTGAAATATGACTTAGGTGCCTTACATCAACATGCCCTGATTGCGGATGAGTTTTTTAACTGACCAGCGTTCAATTTTCGGTTATCGAGAATGATCTTCATGTTGCCGTGACACCGATTCCGCTTCCTTAAATACTAAAAACTAAGAATATTTTATTTTTAGTTTCTTGTCCGAAATTTAATATCTACAAACAATGAAAATGACCGCCATCACCACCATAGAATATGTAATCGTCAGAGAATCTCAACTTATGACCTCATCTGGCGATGCATCGTAAAATTAAGAAAATGCAACAAAGGTTTCAAAGGCACACGTTAGATGGCGCAATTAAAGAAATATTAACATTGAAAACTACAACAGCCCTTGCGGAGTTTTCGCGATTCTTAGACTAAAACGTTTTACGTCCTATTTGACATTCAGTATGCTTTTGGTACTCGTCGTTACTCACGAATGGGTAACTCGAACAACTAACTGGCTTGCTGCTATTTTGGCGTAAAAGTTATTGAGTTTTCATTTTTCCTATCGTTCACGACAATTACACGTCAAGTTTACAGATGTCGTATGAGTCGTTACTGGCGCGGTTGCCAGACTTTGGAATTCCCGGTAAGGTTACTCATCAGGAATAATTATTCGTTGTGCTAAAATGAATTCCTTTTCAGTGGGTGGATCATGTTGCGGGATAAAACGTTCCTAGTTTTTATTTTCTGTTTAGCGTTGCGTTCCGCTCCATATTCCAGGTAATTGAAACTGGCTGTGATACATTGATTTCGTGATCGATTTCTGCCGAGTTTACAGCGGCCTGTAATAGGATTGAGTGTTGGACAAGGATATCTGGATCATTTCTGTTCATAAGGGTCTATTTTGCGGGTCGGTTTTCGTAGCAGGTGAATGGTGAATGGGTATAATTGAATTACGCAGTGTGATTTTGATGATTTTGTAGAAATACCAGGTTAGTGAGTTGGAATATGCGCCGATGATTAATCCAGTAAACTTTTGTTCCGCTGTCTTGCTTGCGGATTTAGATGTTTTTGGATTTGTTTTGCGACTCGTTTTCTACGCCATTTTGGGGATCGTATATACCTCGCGCACCCAGGAGGTTTTTATTTTTCAATTCGCTTTACTGGATATGTGATGATTTATATCGGGGCTAGTAACTTCCATAACAGGGTTTTTTTGTTACTGTTCTTCTTTCCCATTTGCTCCCATTCATCTTGCACCCGCTTAATTCGGTAGCAGCTTATCACGGCGACGGTGTTAACGACTGCAGCACTGTAGCACGTTACTACTTTTGGTGATTTATTTAATTTATTTCCATGCTTAGTTCCATCACAATTCAAATAGTTCGCTCCACGAATTGAAATGTGTTCTTTAAAAACCATAAATCTTAAATATTTTTTTTGTTTTGATATTCTATTCAGGGATAAGTATTTTGCCGATGTATTTTATTTTAAATGAGTTACTTGTACATTTGGATCATCGCAGCGGTTTGTATTTAGGTCTTTATATTAAGATTTAATTGAATTAGTTAAAAATATGTACCCATCCATCTTATATCTTGATATTGTCATTGTTTTACATATCGTGTTAGTAATAGTATATAATCAATTTTTGCTGCCAACTCGAAATAAATATTTGGTACAACTCAAATTCTCCATTAATCAATAATTTTAATTATTTCTTCGATTATTATTTTCGTAATTAGCAATTTGTAATTTGGCGTAATTGAGTGTTTCTGCACAAGTGTTTAACACAATTATCGCAGACTAATAGCTAGTGGAATTACTCGGCATTCAAAACCACCATTCTAACCTCGACCTCACTCCACTCTCACAGTGCGGCTATTGTTACAAATGGTTAACAAGTTTTTATTTTTTCCTCTTCTTTGTTGAGCGAGCCATCTTCTCGTTGAGCGTCGCAAATTGACAAAACATAGTTTTGTAGGCATTTATTTTATAGAACCTTAGATCACAATAAATTTAGTTTTAAAAAATTAACACTAAAGAAAATGGTCAAAATGATCTATGCCTATCACGTAAAAGAAGTCTCGCAAAAGCCATCATGTAAACTAAGCATTTGTGGACCTACGTTTATATGAACTCTTGTTTCTTTGTGGGCGAAGAATAATTTTTGAAACACCCCGTAGAAAGTTTCCAATTGAATTCAGTGCCGTTCTCAGAATTATTATACGAAATCAGGTGAAAAAGTTATAGGAGATGAACACTCTGTATATTATTTTTTACTATAATTGAGGATAATGCGGGCTTTTTCAAAATATTTAGCTCTAGACAGCTATATTTAAAAACAACTTCAACACTATGGCTATTAGAAAATTAAAGCATTTTCGAATAGTTGGAAAATTTCTGTTGCCCTGAAATTGTCCCTATCTTTATTTTCGATATAGGAACCTGTAGCGACAGTTTGAACCAATTAGACTTCCGAAAATATTTATTTCAAAAGACAAAATTTTATTCATTATATAAAATTAACTTAAAAAAGAACAATTTAAAAAGGACAAACAATTTTTGTAATATTGCCACATTGTTAATAGTGTTTTTGCATACCAGAAAACAATTTTAACAAAAACTGCACAAACCTGCTTCTGGACCCAACAGTAGCTTTTTCTTGTCGATTTCAATAAAATTCCATTAACTAGCTGTATAAATTATATAAAATGCTAAAGTTTTTTTTTCTAAGTGAATGTATGGGGTCAAGGTGGCAACAATGGATCAACTTTTGTTTGACACGCTGTAGCAAAAAAGTTACAACTTTTCATTTTATTTTCAACAAACTATGGCTCCACTACTTTAATTACCCACGATTACTTTTTGACATAATAGGTTGGTTGCATCATGACGACCATTTTTTTTTAAGTTTGCAAATGATCCATTGTGTACTAAGGTTAGGTACAATGGCTCACCCCTAAGTAAACAATGGATCACTGGAGTACACAATGGATAATTATTTTTATTAGTATTAAAGAATGGACATACTAAAATGGATATAATTTTTTATTTATATTTATAAAAATAAAACAAATTCAGGTATATAAGTAATTGGTTGACAAATCCCTTATTCGCTAGATTATAATTAGCAACTATATTTTGAGACTAGGTACTAATAAGTCAAGTACGAATAGGTAAATGATAACTCACTCTTTTAGTAATAACTAAACACATATCACTTTGGTAACGACTAAACTTGAACAAAACATAAATGACAGCTTCTTGATTCTCTAGGTCATAACCAGTAACTAAACTATCTGACCTAAGGACTAGAAAAAAAAAACAACGAAACTTAAATTAAAATTGAAAAAATTGTTGATTTCTTACATCTAGGCGCAATAACAATCGACATAAACATAACTTCTGATAATAGAGATCATAGTAATAAACAAACAGAATTAAAAAATGACTTAATTAACGTTGAGGGCAAATAAATCTAATGGGAAACTATAGAAAGACTGCTGTCTTGAGGTACTGCCACTACAAATTGGCTTTGGTAATATCAATTTGACATCATCTTCTTTCACGAAAGATATGTCAGGCACATTGGAAACTCGAAATTTATTTATTTATTTATGTGCCCTGTGCTTTTGACTTAAAAATAATACCGTCTTAATGTTGTAAACGGAATTCCAGTTGTTCCAGACACTTTGCGGAGGCTATCACCCATTTCAATTCTTAATAAAGCTGCCTTCATACTAGCTGGTCGTGGCATTCTGGAAACAAACACTGCGTGAAAAAAAAAACATCTAAAACTCAAAAATTAATTTACGACCAACTCTCATTCTATTGGGTACACAATGGATCATGATCCATTGTGTACTTACGAAGACTGAGCCATTGTGTACTAGGACGCCATTAATATTTAAAAATTGTACCCAACCGTAAATTAAACATACTAATCAAAAGTTTCTGCAGGAAAATAAGCCTAATTAAGTACATTTTAAGGCACGTATACCAGCACTAAGTTATAGATATGAAAATACATGATAGAAAGGTTCAAGTCTTACCTTCTAATTCGTATTTTTGCAACCAAGAACCAAAAACAATGATCAGCACAAATCAGCCTGGCCAACGACGCACACCAAATAGTTCGAACGAGTTCCGTTGCCGAATAGAAGTAACGAGTGAGAGAGAAAGCAGATATCTCTGTCCCTTTCGCAGGAATAGCGTGTGATCCATTGTGCACGCCCTAACCATTGTTGCCACCTTGACCCTAGAAATATTTATTTTAGAAAACTCCGCATTATTCTCAAACAACAAAAATATATTTGTAAGGTGTTCAATTAAAAAAGTTGATACAATAACTTTTTGGCCTCACCTCGTATATTTATTCCGAGAGCGGCTAGCTTCTAGGCGAAAAGTTGTATTACTTTTTCAGGTCTAATTTCCACAGCTTCAGGCACGGCGAGATGTTTTAAAAATCACTAGCATTCTTTCCTGATTGAAAATCTTTTTATAGTATATATTTTGTTTATAATGATCCATAATGATTTGTATGGCATTAACTTATAAAGCTATAAATCATATTTACCCTGAACTTATAATCTGCAAGGACCTTTCGACTTTTCTTATACTAGCTTTAACTGGTGTTTACATTAAAGGAATGTATTAATTTATTTTTATAGTTTTGTTTATTTGCAGGACCTGACCGTTACGGACGATACCGTGTTGGAAGAGCACAATGAAGATCCTGCGCTTGTGCAGATGCGTCTCATCGGAGACGGAGGTAAATCGGCTTTTCGGCTTTTTCAAAAAACATTTTAACAAGTTTTCGCAGTTGTAGAATCGATCATGCGCGGGGAGAACGTCGGGATCACTCCGAGAAGGTCCAGATCGTCGGCGCTGTTGAATCAGCAAAATACTCAGTTGCTTCAAGTAAGTACCGATCTAAAGTTTCACGCGCTTACATTGATAATCATAATTAAAATTCCCTGCGTCTTTGGTAATTCAAATTATCACAGTGTTCGAAACCGGGAATCCAAAAATACTGTGTATCATTTGCAAGCCCTTCTCTACAGACATTCTTCCATTTTGTAGGGCATGGTTCGTGATTTGTCATTTCTATACGGATCTGCACATTAAATTCTACGTGTGCCTTCAGGCTTACAGAAATCGAACGTCACCGTTGCGATTCAGTGAGCACGGCCGCACACAATTACCTTTCATGTTGGAATAACATATTTTTTCACGTCCAGTTGCGATAATAACACGGATTAATTACTAAAAAATAGTTTGTTTTGGCCAGAAAAATGTACGCTTAATCATCCTAAATTAGTAACTTGTTAGAACCTGTGACGTTGGCTTACTTTGAACGTTTCAGTTACTAGAAACTTCCTTCCTTCGCATGATAGGTGGAAGCAAGCCTGAATCGGTTGCAACATCGTGTACTCAGAGATCCCTCCCGCAGGCAAATTTGGATCATCTGATACCTTTCATTAATTATAATGAATGAATTAATATAATTATAATATTAACATTTACGATGGTGGGCTGAGAAGTCCCGGTCCTGACAGAGATGGTGCCTCCATATGAAAATGTCTATCAGCATTCTTTGGAACTATGGAAGATTTTGAAACACGTACTGTAACAAAATAATTCCATATAAAGACTTCGCATACACAAATAGCATACAGGCTCTTCGTTATCATATTAAATGGCCGATGGGTTTCTGAATTTAAAAAAGTCGCTGTTTCTTAATGCGACAGAGTCATAAATAATTACTTTAAAAGTTAGTGGCCTTAGTCGTATTCCATAGGCGCACTATTATAGAGTTCTCCAAACGATATACCGTCGTTTTTACGACATAATGCGGTATTTAACTTTGCTAAATTTTTATGAAGGTCTAACAGCAGGATTACCTCGTTTGGGTTTCTCTTTGTAACCCTGAATAAATATATTCGAAATTCCACAATGACGTTCCAGATACGTACTTCGGTATTTCGTGTATAGAAAAACTTGTCTCTTATAGATGGTTTTGTAATAAAACCCAATTCTTCGTGCGAACACAGGCAAAGTTTTACACAATATTTTTCCGATACGCATCATATATCAAGTGTCTCACTGTTCCGGCATGGTACATGTCAAGTAGACTTTTTGGGACCCCACGATCTTTCCGCGTTTTTCTTTCTTGGACACCATTCGCAACTATGTCGCGTACTGCGGCATACTGTGTTTTAGCCATCTCGAACGTTAATTTTATGGCTCCCCTTTCACCAGATGCCGATTTCACAAACAGAAACACATTTAAAATTATCATTTACGTAGCAAATGGCAAATGTGTCCGAGTCTTTCATCTATTTGCATTTGGTGGATGTTCATCTTCAACGATTATTACTTCATCGATAACAATCTCAACTTCTTCGTCGCTGGACATCCCAAGTGACTAACTAACAAAATTAAATAATGTTAGTATTTGGTAAGTAGTAAATTGCAATGAAATATATATGGTACCTCAATAAGTATCATCCATTATAAATGAATTATCTAAACTCTTAACCCTTAAATTGGAAACCAGTTTAGGCTTCATAGTGTGTTTTTAATATACTCATTCGGAAGTCATAATCATAAAAGGGGGGATCTCGAGACTGTCAGGTAGACGTACAAGTAGTGCCTTAAATAATGGGTTTTCAGTGAGAACTTGGCCCTCTATAACCAAAATCCGGATGATTTTTTGCGTCGATTTTTAACTATGTATGAGGCATGGGTCCACCACTACAGTAAGGTAACACAAAGGTCCAAACAGTGAATAGCAACCGGCAAAGGCAATTTTGTCAGGGAACAAGGTTACCTTGGAATGGAATTAAAGTTAAAATTGTTTCCTCATTTACCTTATTCGCCTTTACCTAGTATCCAGCGACTACGCTCTGTTCCCTAACTTCAAAAATGTGTACCTTGTTTCCGGCAACCCAAACAACGTAAAACAAAACTGCGCTTGCATAAATCGTAAACGAACGAGACGAAAAACGTAAACATTGACATCGACCCCGTTATTCACTTGCTCAACGCCATAGTAGCACTGCAAGTTCCGTCTACTAGATAAATTCATTCGCCGGTTAACGACCCCGAAGTGTATCTGAGTAATTCCGCAAACTGACGCCATTAACCGTCTCCTCTTTTCACTCTTCATCTTTCTTTTACCCAGGACCGGACTGGTAGGCACTAGTTAAACACCGTATACATTATATAAATTGTATTATATCATCGTTAAACATTGGTGTGGGTAGTTTTCATCGCAGGGCCTTTTCATTATTAAGATCGGCTTTTAATGTGTTACTTACCCAAATCTTCGGCACCTACGTAAAGATTAAAAATAAAGTTAAAAGGTCCATGTGCTCAAGGTTTAGGTTATTGTGGTTCAGCTTCTAGTTTTGACTATCAAATTCGTCCTCCGATGTACTTCCTGCACCGTTGACTCTAAATGAAACTGATACTTCAGAGGTGTCTGGGCTGTAATAAAAAAATTAAAATTAAAATTACATAATTAAACTGATTGCATTTTGATGTTTATTAGTTCTGATGTTTCTGCATAAAAATTTCGTCATTTAGATGCAACAACTTCAGGCGTTGAATTACTAGATTTCCTTGTTGCAGTGGTTGCTTGTTTTTTTCATTCTGCTATTTTAATAACTAACACTTGTTTAATTTTCCGATTTGTAGACATTATACACACTATATGCACTTGTGTACTAAATAAGAATATTAAAGAAAAGTACTAAATCAATAAAAATACTGAGCGGATGTTTTGTTTTGTTGATAAATCAATATAAAATAATAAAAAAGCCTGTTGGTAATAATATAAATAATACCCAATTTATTAATACAATTACATACATACATACAATTGTATTAATAAATTAAATTAAGAACCACTGCCAAGTTCGTCAGAAGTCTCTAAGGGATGGGTATTTCCCTTTTAAAATCGGAGTGAACTTTTCTTCGAATCGCATGTTTTGCGGCATTATCTAGGATTTTGCTGGTTTTCCTAGCGTTTTTTTGGGTGGTTCAATTTAACCTGCTTCCGTTCTTTCGTGAAATAGTTTAAATATTCGGCAGCATCTTTCAACATTTTCTTACAACTAGTATTACCATATCTGATTATTAGTTATTGCTACTGACATTATAGCACATATTTTTGTTATGAATATTAATATGGCCCAAGTTAATTTCTACTTACACAAATTTGATCGTACTGAAATACTCCTCAGTACTTAGAAACAGAAGTTAAAATCAGATTATTCTAATTTGTCTGAAACCCCTGACTCCATCTCGTATACCATCAAGCGAGATGTAGACGGTTGAGTATTGAAAATTCTTCGAAGGTCACCCTGTAATGGGACCTTCGCCGGCTCAGGTAGAAAAATACAGCGAACGGACGCAAAAAACGGAATAAGAAACGAGATTTATCCGCGGGCTCGACAAAGAAACCGATTCCCGAGATATTCCGCCCTATTTCGTGCGCCCTACTTACGGCCACGAAGGGTCCGGGTCGGTGAAGGGCTGGGGGAGGTAATGATTTATCCCGCGATTTAGGTCTTTATCCGCAGCGGTGATTTATACCAACGGTCACCGCTCTAAGGGCGAGGAAGGCCGACTAATTCACTGAATTAATTTGATGAAAACGGCTGGGTCGGCTCGGTAAATTGGTGATCAGATTAATTACAAAAGGCCGAAAGGGGAAATTTAAGTTAAATGGACGCGTTTTTTTCTGTTTGATTTCGCTAGACGTGGACTAGGGTAGCTATTAATGGAATGTCTAAAAAGCGGTCATTTTGGTTCTTCAACAGTGAACAAGTCAAATGAGAAAAGTATGAAAAAATAGTCAAAGTATTAAACATTTGCCTTCTGTAGCATTCAAAAATTTTCTTCGTCTTTTATTGTACAAGTAGGCACATATTTTGAACATTTTTTTTCGTATCTATTGCACTATTTTTGATATGTATACTGCATCGCACTCTGTTAAATGTAGTGATTAAATTCTTTCTAATTATATAGTTATATATATATATATATATATATATATATATATATATATATATATATATATATATATATATATATATATATATATATATATATATTTTGTTTCCACGTTCTTTTCTCTTACTTTTTCCCCAAGCATTTTACAATTTGACTGGTACCTTAAAACCTCACCATCGAACGTGTCTCATTTTCATAAATTTCTGCCATGGACCCAAATTTCACTTCTTCTCTTATGTATACGATTCTAATCTTATTTATGCTAGGTAAGTCTTCCGCCTTTCTTGAGGATTTAATCTCCGCAACCTTAATTTTACTTTTCACTTTCGTAGATAACACCCATGATATTCCCTTTTTATTTATAAAACCCTGACTATGCATAATACACGGTACTCGCTTGCTCATTCATTTAGAGTTACTTTTTGTCCTCCAGTTTCTTTTATCACTGCCAAGTACCAAAAGCTTGTTCTATTAGCGTATATCAAAAATCACTGCCATTGTTTTTCCGTCACATCTACACATGGGGACGTAAGGGGAAGCATAAATTCGAAACAAAAGCCAAGAGTGTATATTTACCTCTAATTTTTCCCTGTTTTTTCCAAAATAAATAATTGTTGACTATTATTTAACTACTACGCTTTAGCGCAGTTACAAATCAGAAAACTACTAGAAAACTGTCCAAGTTCTAGAGAACGTCTTGTTTTGCTATTGTGTCTAATGATGGTTAGGTGATTGGCAGAATGGGAGACCACAATCATCAAAACAACTGTTCTCTGTTACTTATCTTTCTAGGATTATATTTATATTCTGAGTTTAATGATTATCTCTTTAAATTTTTATGGTTGTAGATATAAACTAGTATTGTAGTAAATTCTAGTTCCTAAAAAACTCGTTCTATATCATCATCGCAGGATTATAATAAACGGAATTTAAAATACTTATTTAGTTTTTACTAAACTTTCGCGAATATGATTTACCCACCTTAATATTTAATCCACAATAGTAAAGGAATTGAGTCTGTTTAAGTTAGGTACGTTGAACAAAATACGTTCTTAGTTGTAAGTTTATCCTTTATACTTTCTTATCAATTTTAAGAAATAAAACTTATTTTTAAAAGAGCATTTTTCGAATCAAGTTTATATGAAAAATAAAAACTTTCTTTAAATATATATATATATATATATATTTAAAGAAAGTTGTAAAACCACTTGTATAAGTTGCTCCGTGTTGTCAGGCATATTTTGACCAGTACTGATCTTTCTTTTGATCTTATCCCATAACAACTTTATAGGATTAAAATCTGGTGCAAGTGCATCAGCTTTCGTCTCCAAGAAAAATTTTGCAACTTTGCATTTTCTTGCATATATAAGACAAAATTACCAAAACCAAGTGGCTGGAGTGGGACTACTGATTGCAAAAGTAACATACCTTTGACCTGTAAGGGTATGTCGAATGGTCATTACTACTCATAAATCTTCCGGATTTATCCTACGTCAACTGCTAATGAGTTTATTTGTCATAGTATTAAGGCTCTTTCATGTTCTCGTGTTGCTCCAATGTATTTTTTTCCGCATATACATGAAATTCTGTAAACTCAGGTTGAGATAATTTTACGGCTCTGCAAACAAGAGTTGATAACCAATGATTTTTTGGCATGATGGTGATGATCCAATGTTTAGGTCTGATTTTCTGTTGATAGGAATATTTAAGAATTGGAGATTATTCAATGCTAAAACGTATGTTAGGGTTAGGGAATCCCTCATCTGAGACAATGTTCATTGCCCCCCTTTAGCTTTGTTTCTCTGAAGCAATATGTACGAAGGTACATAGTAGAATGGGAGCCAGTTTCAGTTAAGTTCTGAAGAAGTCAATAGCCAGCAAGTTCAATTCATCAAAAACCGACACAGGAGGAATCCAGAAGATTTTTAACAAAAACAATTATTTTATGGTTGTGGATATAAACTAGATGAGTCCAGCAAGTATAATAATAAATTCTACGTCCTAAAACCACTCAGTCGATATAGAAGGATTATAATAAACATAAATTAAAATACTTATTTATTTATTACTAAATTTTCTCGGATTATTTACCCACTTTGTTTTTTATTCCACAGTTATATATTGTTAGTTGTAAATCTGTATTGGATAGGTATTCACACCTTTTGATCTATTTTACGCTTGCACATGTTCCCTCCCTTCCATACAATATTTCTGTACTTTTGGGTAAATATAACACCTATTTTACTGTTATTTGAGATGTAAGGTCGACAACTTGGCTACTCTCGTTCATCAAATCATTGAAATGAAAGAAAAAATTAATCGTAATGATGCGCAGCTGAATAGGAAGATGAATGGGAATTTTGTTCTTTTTTAAACACAACCACTAAGGTTAAGAGAGTTGAGTTTTAGTCATCCATCATAGCGGTTCTCGTAATTCGAATCCTTGACTACGTCATTTCCCTTCACTCAGAGAATGTCCTAAGACAGACCGAATTTTCCGATCAACCACTTACTCCGATTCAAACGTATAAGGAATCGTTAATTCCTAGGAATAAAATTAAATTTGAAGAAAGTCAATGAGGACTGAAGAGCATATTTTCGAAACCAGGTTTATTAAAAAAATAAATAAAAAATACTAAAACTACAATAATGCTACATAAATTATTTTATTAATCAGTCAGATCAAATATTTCTTCTTTTTCTTTTCTTTCTTTTCTAATAAAAATTTTGCAACATTGCTGGTATTTATGTGGAGGTGCATAAGTAAGAAAAAACCGGTAAATCCAAGTCGCTAGAGAGTGACTAAATCAAAATAGCTTTGACTTGTTAGGGTTTGTCAAATGAGAATTAAAGAAGTTTTCCCAATCACAATTCCATCCTAAAACATTTGTCCTTTGTATTTCCCTCAGTTTCACTCTAATAGTATGCCGGAGATAAATAGCAATTTCTTTCCTTTCTAAACGCAGCCTACAGGTTCAATCGATAACACACTGTAGCATAAAAAATGATTACTCTGTAGAGCAGCGAACGGCAGCTGATTTCGGAGAGCTGTAGATCGCGTTTTGTTTTTAAATTGTACACATTCCTTGTGGGCCTGATGTTTTAATCAATAAATCAGTAGGGCACTTCAAAGGAATGTTCTAGTAAAACTCTAATTTAAAATGTTCGAAAATATATTAACTAGTACGGTCTCTGAAGACGCAAATACAGACACGAGGGTAAAAAAAACTTGCTTGGCAATATTGAAATTGAAGAAATACGAAATAAAATTGAAAAAATTAACTATGCATGTCATTCCGAGAAGGTACTTTATCGAAACCCACTAACCTCGTTTTAAAAAATTATCTAAATTTTTTACCAAGTTGGTTTTGAGGATTAAAGAGTTGAATTTTATAGTGAAAGGTTTTACAACAAATTGTTTCACAATGTGAAAGAAGAAAAAAGGGGGACTTCAGTAAGAAAGTC